CAAGCCATGGTATTTTCAATAACCTCATATGCATGCGAAAGCTGGACAGTGAATAAGGAAGACCACAGAAGAATTGATGCTTTTGAGTTATGGTGTTGGAGGAGAATATTGTGAAAGTGCCAATGGCTGCCAAAATAACCAACAGATCTGTGTTGAAAGAAGTACAGAGTGCTCCTTTGAGGCTAGGATGACCAAACTTCATCTCTCATACTTCTGACATATTGTCAGGAGGGACCAGTCTCTGGAGAAGGATGTCATGTTTGGTAGGGTGGAGGGTCAGAGAAAAAGAGGAAGACCCCCAGCAAGATGGATTGGCAAAGTGGCAGCATCAATGGGCTCAAGCGTGGCTACAATTTTAAGGTTGGCACCGGATCAGACAATGTTTTGTTCTGTTGTGCATATGGTCAGTTTGAGTCAGTATTGACTCGATGGCACCTAACAACAACAACAATAACGGGGCTAATACACATAGACATTTCAATGAGTACACTTCAGTACATAATATTTTCAAAGGACTAGTTCAGATTCAAAAATTGGAAATGTGTATGAATTTTATGGTTACTGTGGCAATAGCATTTGCAGCAAAAATTTTAAAGTCTAGTTTCAAATCATAGTCTTATTTCTACACCAGGGGATATATGAAATTAATATCTAATACCTAGACCAGTGCCTTGCTAATAGTTGTTGTTGCTGTTGCTAAGTGTTATTGAGTCAGTTCTGACTCATAGGATTTCCAAGGAGTGGCTGATAGTTTTGAACCACCAACCATGTGGTTAGCAGTCCAGTACTTACCCTACAGTGCCACAATGAATAGTCAGACTTTGTAATAACCACAATTGTATTATTTTACCTGGTACCAAATGCATTTATAACTACTATTAGACATAATTATTACAGCTCTATAGAGGGTGAGTAGAATTACATCTATTTTTAAAACTTACTATCCTCTAAAATTCAAAATTGGATTTGATCTGTAGCTTTAATAGAAAAATAGACATGTCCATTACATAAAAGGACTCTTGGTGTGACACTATAGGATAAGCATTGTACTGCGAACCACAAGGTGGGCAGTTCAAACCCATCAGCTGCTCCTTGGAAACCCTATACAGGGTCGCTATGAGTCAGAACCAACTCCACGGCACTTATCAACAATAATTATACATCATTTTATTTTTACCATGCATGTTTTTATTGTTAAGTGCTGTCGAATCAGTTCCAACTCATAGTGATCCTGTATGGGGTTTCTAATGAGTGGCTGGTGAGTTTGAACCATTGGCCTTGTGGTTCAGACTGGCCTTGAGGTCAAGTGCTTTTCTTACAGCACCATACCAGGACTCTGATAGTTATATGTTGTTGTTGTGAAGTGCCATCGAGTCAGTTCCGACCCATAGCAACCCTGTGTAGGGTTTCCGAGGAGCAGCTGGTGAGCTTGAACTGCTGACCTTACAATTCAAACGGTTTTGCAGTCTGACACATTAACCCACAACGCCACACCAGGACTCCAATAGTCATATATGCTGCTGTTGCTGTGTACCGTGGAGTCGGTTCCGACTCATAGTGACCCTGTACAGG